TAAATTATATAAAAACTATTAATTGGGGCTTAAAATTAGTGAGTTATGATCCTCCAAAAATCAAACCCCTCACCTTAATATCTTTTTTTATTTAAATATTCTTCCAATTTTCATCAATTTTAAGAAAATTACAAATTTATCCTTTACAAGACCAAAGTGAGGTTGGTTACTACCATTTATCCCTTTCATATTCCAATCATCAAAACATATAAATTAGAATTTTTTGTTGCCCATATAGCCATTTGATTAAGCCTAAATATTAATTAAGCCTAAAATTTCAAAATTGCCCTTTTTGCCCCTAAGGCCTTACCACCCTATAACTCATTAAATTGAACTCAAATGACTTGAAAATTTTAAGTTACCCCACTCATGGGTTAATTAAAACATTAGAGGAGCAAATCTGATTTTTGTGAATTTATTTAATATTTATAATTATTTTTAATGAAAAAATAAGGATTTTTCAATGAAAATTTAATAACTCAACCAAAACAAAATCTCTATCCTTAATAAATTATTAGAGGTTCACCTAGATTAGAGGATCACTTCGACCAATTTTCATGATTTTTAGAAATTTAATTTAATTATTAGAATTATTTGTTTCTTTAGCATTACTTAAATATAAAATATTATTTTGGTAGAAAATTAAGTTTTATATTTTTATTAAATCTCTCTGAGTCTAGGGAACACAAAGAAACAAATTTCATATTTTTTTTTATATATATTTTAATTATTGGAATTACTTTAGTGAAAAGTTAAGGGAAATTCATTTTTAAGCCTTTAAAATTAATATCTTGACTTGGAAAATTAGGAAAATTATTTTGATTGATTACAAGTGATCAGGGAGTTAAATATGACATTTTAGTATGTTTTTTACAATTTTGCAATTTTTATGATTTTTAATTAATTTTTAATTATTTAAATGCTAAAAAATGAAGTATTTATTTCAATTCCAATTTTAATTTTCTTAGGTTCCTCTGGTCATAAGGAGCTCCCAAAGCCAATTTGGTAATTTTTTAAATTGTATTTTAATTATTATAATTATTTTAATGCCAAAAATGCAATTTCACTTGATTGATCCATTTGAGTAGTCAAATTCACTCCAATTGACTTGAAATTTTTATGAGGAGCTCCTCTAACATTAAATCACAATAGAGAATAATTTTTATGTTATTTACATTTATAATCTCTAAATTGATTTTATTTCTTTTTTAGGGTTTGTGGTAATTATGATTATTTTAATGTGTTCAACCAAGTTTATATTTTTCCTAGGATCCTTTAACCACAGTGAACATACCAAAACATATTTTGCATTTTTATGATGAGTATTTTAATTATTATAATTTTTTATACCAAAATAGGGACCATTAATTTGAAAATTAGATCTCTCTAGTTAGATATGCCCCCTGACTATGCCCCCTGACCTTAGAAAAATCAGGGGAGATAACTAACAACAAATACATCAAAAGCCCCATGGTCCGATGCCATGGTGAAATGTCTAGGCAAATGGAGAATTCAAATAAAAAAATATTAATTAATTAATTAAAAAAATAATACATGCATCAAAAAATATGAAACCATTTCCACATTGTTCTCATGTGTTTACTTAGCAAGAAGATATTTTTATTTTATTTTTATGATTTTTCTACACAAAGATATGCATTTTTGAAATTCTAGTTATTAAATAAATAAGTAAAAATCCTATTTTTCTACATAAGTGACGTGGCGCTGACTGAATCCTCGTACACGTCGAACATACGCATGTCGCCGTGAGATTGGGTGCCACCTTCTGAGTTAGTCCTCCTTTTTGAACCATCCGTCCGTCCGACACAATCAAAGCCCTGAATTTGATACACGCTCGATTAAATGGTCCTCCATCATCGTCCCGATATGGTTCAACTCGAGTGCCATCCACCTTTAAAACTTAATATCTCTCTCTATACTCAACCAAATTAAGTGAGGTTTGCTCCTATCGACTCATCTTGACTACGAGAACATATCCATATGGTTGATCAAGGCTTAAATTGAGTATATGAGCATGGAGAATTAAATGAAGCTCGGTTTAAAGGAAGAGTTCAATACCTTTTCCCAAGAGGTGTGGCCTCAATAGGGTGCTTCCAAAAGCTTGCCTTGAGTCCAAAGAGCTTCTAGATAAAGTCTCAAGCCGTGGTGAAATGCCTAGGTATGATTTTAACCAAGGCCGATTTAGGGGTTGATCAAAGTGCACCCTAAGGTGGTTTGGTGATGAGGCTTTTGTGGGGGATCTTCCTCTCTCACTCAGGGGATGGTGTGGGTGTAATTAATTTGACTTTGGTGGAGTCTAGAGGATTGTCATGTTTTGAGCTTGATTTTGAGCTCCAAAATTGAGCTCAGACAGTGGGCTTGAGGGCTTGAGGATGGTTAGGTTGAACTCCTGAGTGCTTGAAGAAGCTCTGGGAGCAATTTGGCGGAGTCTCCCCAAGGAATTTCAAGCTCTCCCCCCTTGGCCGTGGAGGGTAAGTTTAAATAGAGGAGGAAGGAGAGGCCATCAGAGGCAATTGGTGGATGCCATAAGTTGCTTATGTGGAGGGCAAAAGTGTGCAAAAACCCAATTGGGATGAGGCAGCTTGGATGGGTTTAATTTTGGGTTTGAACCAAGGAGAGCTTTTGAATTTCGATTTTTCGGAGGCCAAGGTGGTCGATCAGCCAGGGAGGGGTCACCATCGGCTCAGGGAGGTCAGGGCATGAGTTTGGTGAAGTCAATTGGGGTTGGCCATGTGTAAAGGTCTTGGATTTAAGAGGAATGTGGGAAGGGTCATTTTGGGTCAAATTAGGTCAAGTCATGGTTTGGGGCTGTGTTCACTCACCAAGGATGGTTTGGATGCTGAGGGAAATCAGATGATTCAACTTAATCATCATGGTGAGGTCTCTATCCAAGTTATTTTCCATAAGCATGAGGTTTGGGTGTTTCATGAAGTGGGTTAAAAAGGATCTTAAGGATATTTGAAAGTGTCTTGACCTCTTGCTATTAATATCTTGATGAGGTGGCAAGGCTCTCATAGCTCACATATGGCTTGGGATTGGCTTCATGGCTTCCCTTTGGCTTGGCTCTTTTACATGAGAAAGAATTTTGGAGTTATGGGGTATTTTTGTGGAGTTTTTCATGATACCGAATATGGAATGATTTGATCATGAATTTAAAACTTAGGGATGATTTTGATTAAATGGATAATGAAGAGATAAGAAATTATCACGTAAACTTTGGATTTGGGCTTTTGAAATCAGATGTTGTGGGCTTGGGCTTTTAAAATTAGGGGTGAATTTGGGCTAAAATTTTGATCTAATTGATTGTGGAATTTGGTATAAGAATATTTCATGGAGAGGTTGGAAAGGATTTTAAGTGGAGCAGGATCCAAAGTGGTTTTGAATTGAATTGGAAGGCCAATTTGGTGGATTTGGACATATGGTCAAAATTGGAGTATGGTCAAAATTGGAGTTTTTTGATTGGGGTGAAATTGGGCTTGCAATTGGGTCAAATTGGGCTTGAATCTTGTTTATATTGGGATTGGGGGTACTGAAATTTGGTTTGGAATTAAAATTGGGCAAGATTCAGGTCAATTGGGCCAAGATTGAGGCTAATTTGGGGAAATTAAGTCCATAAGGACAAATTTGGGGCTTTTGGTAAAATTGGGTAAAATTTGTCAAATTGGGCCAATTTGATGGTTAAAATTTGAAATTGAGAATATTTGAAATGATTTTGGAAATTTTTGAAATTTTTGGTATTTTTAAAATTTTTGGGTCATGAGGGACATTTTGGTAATTTTTTGCAATTTTAGGGGTATTTTGGAAATTTTTAAAATTTTTTCCTTCTTGTTGTGGGTTTTTTGAGCTCTGCTTTGTGACTTTTTTAGACTTTTAATTATCATTTTAATAGTAAGACTTTTTTTTTGCACACTTGATACTCACTATGAAGTGAGGTATGTATCTGTAATTCTATGCTATTTTTAAGTGAATTTTTGCAAAATATATTAAAATTTTTGTCTATCACAGTTCTGTTAAGGACAACATTACAAAATAGGGATAGAATAGTCATTTTTCCAAAAACAGCTACTTCACAACTGTTTTCACACAGCTGCCTCAAACAGACAACCAACTTCCCCGCAGCAGCTTCTTGGGGTAGCACAGCTGCAGCTGAAAAACTAAGAAGCTGCAGTTGCCTTAAATAGACCCTAATTCTTGCATTTCTCTTCCTTCCTCCCACTCTGACCCCCTTTGCCCCCTTCAACCCCTTTAAATCCCGTAAACCCATCTTCTGATTTTCCGACTAGATTTCCTAATATGGGGTTTAAGGCAAAAAACTTAGTTGAGAACGAATATAAGAATGTAGGATTTAGCTGTATGACAACGGATAGATTTAAGTTAGTAGGATTTAATAAATCCGATAAATCTGATAAACATAATAAATCTTGAAAGGGTTAAATTTCATAAACTTGACAATATATTTAATAAATCTTGTAAAAACCTGTAAAATTGTTTGACAATTTTTTTCAAGATTTTAAAATCTAGTATGACTGTTAGACTTTAACAACAAATCTTAATAGAATTTAATAAATCACATAAATTTGACTTCTTGAAATATTCAAAAATAGACAAACTAACTTCTTAAATTTAGTTAATATTTAATTTCAAAATATGTTAATTAATAATTATATATTTACTTAATAAAATTTTTATTAAAATAATTATTAAATTGAAATTTAACATTTATAAATGAATAATTAATTAATTATTAATTATATTTATTAATAATTACTTATAAATTTAATGGATGAATAAATAAATTATATTTATTTTTTATTATTTAATAATTAAATAATACATAGATTTATTTATGATAATTAGTCTAATATATTTAAATTAATAAATAATTATTAATTAATTAAATTAATAAATAAACTTAAATTAAATTAAATTAAGAAAATATAAAGTAAAATCAATAGAAACCCTCGCCTACATTACTCTACACGAAGCCTTCGCCTACATTGCTGCTCTCTGCACCAGCCTCCATCATCAACCCCCATACCCTCCTCCGCCACCCCGCCCCTCTGTGATGTCGTCCAAAACCATAGCCTTCGTCAACGATCGATAAAGTCGCAATTGCAGCTAGCTGGTAACGCAACGTCGGGATCGTGGCTTACAGAGATCCGAAACTCCAATTTTGTTTTCTCCTCCTGCTCCTTTCCTAGCCGAAATCATTGAGGAGGTAACTTCACGTCGTTTTTGTTTTTTTTTGAGCGAAGCGTCCGTCCCGGATTTACAAATCCACCGATTCAGGGGATTTAGTAAATCCGGGGTTTAAGGCCGAAATCCGTGAAATCCGGATTTATCAAATCCGAGGCTTTATTTTGTCCAAAATGACCGTCTAGCAAGATTTAGGTTAAATCCAGCTTAAACCCTAAGCAAGTTGTCATTTTCTGTCGGGTAGGATTTAGTTTAAAGGCTGCGCAAATCTTGCTACAAAACAGAACATTTATTTGGTTTCTAGTGGTATAAGTAAGGGAAAGCGAGATGACCCGACCAGAGCTGCAAGCGCCGCCAGAGATATTCTACAATGACACAGAAGCTCGCAAGTATACGACTTCTTCCAGAATCATCGAAATCCAGGCATGCTCTACTTTTTTTTTTAAATTTGTTTTTATGTATTTTTTGTGTTTTAAGCTCTCAATGTTCTATTCATGTTACTTGCTAGGCTAAAATTTCGGAGAGAGCACTGGAACTACTCAATCTTCCAAATGATGGTGTCCCTCGTCTTTTGCTTGATATAGGTATGAGTTCCCCACTTTTGTTTATTTTCATCCTTACATAAATTATTATTTTGTTGGGCCATTTACATACTTAGCACATAATTCTTATTTACATATCTCACACTTAAACTTTCATATTTACACACATAGCACTCAAATATTTAATATCACATCAAAAACTTCACTATTATTTAGCCTGAAACTTCATTCAAAGTTTCATCTTGTTAATGAAATCAGCATGTGCTTGTAATTTGTATATTTTGGTCAGTTATCTATGTAATATCCAGATCTTACAACATCAACATTGAAAATTGTTTTCTTTTCTTAAACATGATACTTATGGAAAAATATTTCAACTACTTGATGTGATTTTGTGGGAATTTAATGAGAGTGCACTTATTCAGATGATGTTCTGTTTCCATTTTGTTACTTGTTGTTGCTAGGCTGTGGATCAGGGCTTAGTGGTGAAACTTTATCTGAGAATGGGCACCATTGGATTGGCTTTGATATATCTCAATCAATGTTGGGTAAGTTAATTGCACCCTAGGAGCTATTTAGATGTTTTTCTTTCTCTTTATTATTCTTTTTGGTTGGTGACATTCATGTTTCCCTTAGATGTTGCATTAGACCGTGAAGTAGAAGGTGACTTGCTGCTTTCTGACATGGGTCAGGTATAGAGTGGAAGTGTTGCTTTTTTGTTTTTTTTTGTTCTTTCTAAATTATATCATTTCTAGTTACTACATATTTTGTTGGTTTTCAATAGAATTTTAGAGAAGATGCTTAAAGTTTAAGGGTTTTTTTAATCTTTTTTAGGTCAATGACTAGTGATTTGCTCGAATTCAAAAGAAGCAAATAATAAAATGTTTATTTGGCAGTGCTTTGGTAATTTTTTTTTTACTCTTATAAGTCCCGTCACTTTGGTTTGGTCACATTAAACGTCGACCATCTGATGATTAGATTAGGATATTAGATGTCTTAGATTCGACTTATGTTAAGCAAGGCAAAGGTAGCAATAAGAAGACTTGGGCTTATTGTATAAAAAATAATCTTAATTTATTAGAACTAAATGAAATTATGACACTAAATATGATGCACTGGAGAAAAAGATTCATGTAGACGACCCCATGTAGTGGGATGAAGGTTTTTTTGTTGTTGTTGTTGTTAAGTCCGTGACTTTGATATATTATTTACTAGCGCAATGAGAAGTCATCTAGTGGGGGGTGTTTGGGAGCAACTATTAATAGAGTTTATCACCGGATTTATGAAATTCAACCAAACACAAAAATGCGTTTAGTTTCGTGAATTTATGAATTTTTCGGATTTAAGGTCTCAAATTTCTCCTTCCATTCAGCTTAAATCCGGATTTACTAAATCCAACGATTGGACAGAATTAACAAATTTACTAAATTATACTAACGCTAAATCCTGCTTGCAACTAAGGACCCCCTGAGAAACATCAATAAGAAATGTGCTAGTCTCATTAAAGCTACATGCTTATTAAAGTAAGGTTTTTCTTTAGGACATAGAGTCGTAGAATAATAAAAATTGGGCCAAGTTTCGATGACTCATTTGGCTTGAAATCAAAATTCAAATTGGTTTGAAAGCATTATCTGATGGGTCAAAAAGATGCATTAGTTATTGTTTATTTGTTGAAATCTTAGATATTGCGAAGGATTTGATTGGGATAACTTAGCAAGCTTTTTATTAGCTTATTCCCTTTTTATTCTATGATATTTTAGTTTTATTTCAGAATGATTTCCTTTTCTAATTTAGGTTTGATATTCGGTAAGTTGTAAATTAGGAGAGATTATTTTCCCTATATATGTGTGTACAAAACATATGAATGATACAACTAAAGAGAGAATTATTCATCTCCAAATCATCTCCACATGGTATCGGAGCTTGGAAAGAAACCCTAAATCTCCTTCAACCGCAGAGCTCTTCCAAGCAGCCAAAAGTCTCCCCGTAGTCGCTATAATCCCTTCTGCCTGTCTGCGGGCCTTCTCTACTTCTTTCCAGGGCATTTGAAGGCTTTGGTTGGTGCATAGGAAGCGCAAGCCGCTAATCCCGCGACAACTTTCTCTAGATTTCTAGCAGTTTTTTTCTTCGGATGGAAATCCCAGGTGCACGACTCCCTACCTTGGGTCGACCTTTCTCTTGCTAGTGGAAATGTTCAGTGATCAACAATAAATCTCTCCTTGAGTTTTTGTCCTTCTAGTAAAAATCCCAGGCGTGCGACTTTTTTGTCGACTTTCTCTTTCTAGTCAAAATCTTCAGCAACCGTCAGTGAACTTTCTCTAACCAAGCAACAACGAGCAGTAGAACTTTATTTTTTTTCTTCTGCAGTCGGTATTTCCCTGTAAGCCTTGCTCTGCATTCCAAACTCTAGGCCTTCCTTGCACGTTTTCTTGTAGTGTTTTTTTGCCGCTGCTGGATCTCTTCCTTGCCAGACTGACTCGGGAAATCTTTTTCGATAGTCAGAACTAGCACCAGGAATTTCCTCCGATAGTCGTCCAACACTGGAATCCTCCCTACAACAGTCAGCCAACCTTCAGACCTCCCCAGTGTCAGCTTTTGCTCCATGTCAAATTTCTCCCTAATGCATCCAACAACCCGTAGACCCTCCATAGCTAGTCACTAGCTTTCTAGACAAGCATGCATTTCTCACCTTCTCCAGCAGCAGCGGTCAGCTTCCTTCCTGCATCTAGCAGCAGTCCTAGATACAAATAGGATTTATGACCAAGTGCGGGATGAAACGTCAAATTTTATTTCGGAGGTCAATTCTGAATCATTCACCAAGGAACAACTTAAAGTACTGAAAAAACTTCTTAGAGATAATTTAAAACAACCCACCAATCTCGCGACACATCAAGATAATATATCCTTCTCATCTTGTAAGTAATGAGAGATTTAGAATTTGGATCATAGATTCATGAGCCTCTGATCATATGACCGGAGACCTCTATATTTTAGTCAATTATCAAGATGTTTCTACATCTAGATCAATAGACTTGCAGATGGATCACACTAAAAAATTGCTTGAAAAGGAGTGCGAAGCTCTCTTAGGATATTACTTTTACCTCTATTTTATATCTTTCATAGTTGAACTGTAATTTGATTTCAATCGACAAGCATAATCATGATATGAAATGCATAAATAAATTTCTTGCACGCTTGTGAATTTCAGGTGATGAAATTGAGGAAAGTGATTAACATTGCTGAAATGCATCAAGATTTATACCTTTTGAAGGAAAATCTTTCTCTAAATACACAAATGATCTCACATCTATTTTTATCTCAAGTTTTTGAGTTGTGAGTCTATATGTCAAAAAACATGACATGTTATGACATTGTCACTTGTGCCATCCTAATTTCAATTATGTTGTAAAATTTGATCGTTATTTGTTTATCTATAAAACTTTAGTTCTTATAAATGTGTGATTTGTTGATTTACCAAACAGACTAGAAATAGTTATCCCATCGCTCAATATGACTCTCATACTCTTTTTTCATTATCCACAGTGATGTTTGAGCACTTTCAAAGGTGAAAACCCAAAGTTGAACTAGATTATTTCTCTCATTTATTTATGATTACACCATAATTGCTTGGAAATTTCTAATAAAGGAGAGATGAAACAACTCAAATCTTCCAAACCTTCTATAATATGATTCAAACTCAATTCTAATGCAAAATTTAGATCCTTAAAACTGATAATGTAAAAGGATATTTCAATTTCATCCTTAAGTCCTTTCTTAAAAAAATGGAATTATCCATTTTAGTTCATGTATTGATGCTCCACAATAAAATGGGTTGCTGGGAGAAAAAGAACATGCATCTTCTTGAGTTATCCCACTCAATTATGATGACCATCAAGTTCCAAAATATTTTTGGTAGGAAATAATTATTACTGCAACATACATTATCTATCGAATGTCTAGCCGTTTATTTAATTTCAAACACCTCTCTATGTTTTGATGTTTAGCTATCCTCATATAAGAGCTTTCACTTCTACCATACCACTTATAATCTTTGGGTGTGTATCTTTTGTTCACGTCCATTCCTAATATCACGCAAAACTTGATTCTAGATTTATCAAGTGTGATTTTTTTGGGTATGCCACCAACAAAAATGGGTATAAGTGTTACTCTCTTGTTACCAGGAAGTATTAAAACTCTATGGATGACACATTTTTAAAAATCAATCATACTACTACAAATTTTATGTTCAGGGAGAGTGCAAATAAACATCAATTTTTGGGACGCACTTGATGACATGTACATGATCTCACCTTCTACTCCACTTAGCCCTTCTCTCCTGGTTGACGATGCCCACCAATGTAATCAACCCAACCTGAAGTCCATAATAAAGTACTTCATGTGTACACAAAGAGGAAGAAAAACCTCTGCATTCACCTGAAGTTTTGGTTAAGGAGTCTAGTACTCATGAGTTATTCTATTCTCTTCTAATGCTGGTGACAAGGAAATCTTTATTAGATATCCAATTCAGAAATATGTAACATATGGGAAGCTATTCTCATCTTTCAAAACTTTTGCTTATAACCTTGATAATATGCAGATTCTTAAATCCATTCTTGAAGCTCTTAAAAATTTAGAATGGAGTAAAACAGTTGAAGAAGAGCTTCGAGTACTTAAGCTTAATGGTACATGGATTTTTATTAAATTCCCTCAGGAGAAGAAATCGGTTGGGTGCAAATGGGTGTCCAACTTCAAATACAAAGCTGATGAGAGTGTTGAGAGATTCAAAGCCAGATTTGTTGCAAATGATTTCACTCAAGCTTATGTGATCGACTATCAAAATACCTTGGCACCAGTTGCCAAAATGGTGCCAAAATTAATATTATCAGAGTTCTTTTAATAGCAGTTAACAAGGATGATGATTGCATCAACTTGATATAAAATGCCTTTCCGAGTGGGTATCTGAAAGAAGAAGTGTACATGTAGATATCACTAGGGCTTGAGAATGATTTGACAAATACCTAGTATGTAAATTTAGGAAGGCTCGCTATAGGCTTAAGCAATCACCAAGAGCTTTGTTTGAAGGATTTGCTAAAACTATGAGGTCTAATGTGTATTCTCAAATTCAAGTTGTTCATACTCTATTTATAAAATACAATTAGGAAGGTAAGATTGCTGATAGTATATGTGAATATATGATTCTCACAAGTGATGATAAAAGAGAGATTCTCAAGATCAAAGAAGTGTTTGTCGCACGAAATCAAGGACCTAGCAACTGTGAGATATTTTTTAGGTATGGAGATAGCAAGGTCCAAGAAAGGCATCGTTATGTCACAAAGGAAGTAATTTCTAGATCTACTAAAAGAAACATGAATGATTGGATGTAAGCTTGTTGATACTCCAATGGATCACAACCACAAGTCAAAGAGGGAAAGCGCCTCTATGAACAAGGGAAGATAATAAAGATTGATAGAAAAACCGATCTACCTGTCACATAAGATGCCAAATATTGCATACTCTGTTATTATTGTGAGACAACACATGAATAACCCACATGAAGAGCATTTGGAGATGATATACAAAATTTTGAACACATTGTTTATGGGTTAATCTTTGAGAAAAAACAGGAACAAAGAGGTGGAAGCTTATATTGATGCTAGTTGGGCTGAGGAACTCGCTCATAGAAGGTCTACCACAGGTTGCTGCTCCTATATATAGAAAAAATTGGTGACATGAAGAAGTAAAAAGAAAACTGTTGTGTCTAGAAGCAGTGCAAAATCAAAATATAGGTCAGCTACTTTGGGAATCTGTGATGGGATTTGAATTCAGAAATTATTGAAGGAACTAGGTTGTGTCTCCAATAGGCCTGTACAAATGTTTTGTGACAATAAAAATCTATCAGTATTACCAAATATCTCGTGCATCATGATAGGGCCAAGCATATTGAAGTTGATAGACACTTCATCTATAAAAAGATCAATGAGGGAAATACACAACTAAGTAACATCCTGACATACCAACAAGTTTTTGATGTCTTCCTTAAAGCTTTTCAAGCACATTGTCATAGTTCAATACCAAGCTTCGTCTCTACAACATCTACAACCCGATTCGAGGGGCAATTTAGAAATATGAGAAGTTCTTGTGGAGGATTTGGTTGGGTCAATTTAGAAATTCCTTGATTACTTTATTCCCTTTCTATTCTATGTTATTTTATTTTTATTTCATAATTATTTCTTTTCCTAATTTAGGTTAGATATATTTGGTAAGCTGCAAATTAGGAGAGATTTTTTCCATATATATATATATCTATGTGTGTGTGTGTGCGCACACACACACGAATGACCTATCTCATTGGTGCGGCCTCTGGCGTAAGTCCCTCGGGTCGGAGGTTCGAATCCCGTGACGCGGACTCTTCGAATTAGGAGCAAGCACACCAGGGTTTTCAACCCTTTGGGGGAATCAATATTTGGTGCCCGTTGGACCAAATATCGATTTCACCTTTTAAAAAAAAGTATATATATATATATAT